CAGTTCTGTACTGTACAGCGTGTACTGTACAGCATGTACTGTACTGTAATGTACTGCACAGCATGTATTGTACAGCATGTACTGTACTGTAATGTACTGCACAGCATGTACTGTACTGTAATGTACTGCACAGCATGTACTGTACAGCATGTACTGTACAGCATGTACTGTGTACTGTACTGTACTGTACAGCATGTACATGCTGTGTAGTTCAGTACTGTACAGCGTGTACTGTACAGCATGTACTGTACTGTAATGTACTGCACAGCATGTACTGTACAGCATGTACTGTACTGTAATGTACTGCACAGCATGTACTGTACAGCATGTACTGTGTCCTGTACTGTACTGCACAGCATGTACTGTACATTCTGAAACGTAACCTGCGTGACAGGTGAGGGATCACTGAACATAAATTTTAAAATCAATGAAGCAGCAAACTTGTCTTTGTTTGTCAAATGTGTCGTTTTCAAAACTTTTAGCCGCTGGAGTACATAAGTGGTAAAGAGTAAGAAATCAAACACGCTACAGAGATGTGTATAAATGTAAAGCACTTACTATTTCTGCATGTGTTCAGGATATGGACGAGATCTCTATCGGTGTTCCTCTCAGGTGAGTTTGCTGCTGCTCTTGTGTTCTTGTCAGGACACAAAACAGTTTTAGATATTTCAGACTGCAGAGACATCTGCTCTGTAATCCTAAAGTGGGTAAAAAAACATGTCACTGGTTTGAAAATCAGAGGCTAAGCACATATACAAAAAATAAAACTTGTAATTGTGACCGCAGTGACCTCTGACCTTTCTGCAGTGGCACAGTTCCAGAGGATTCCAGTTAATCTGCAGTCGTCCTCTAGACGTCTCTGAGAGCCCTGAAGGAAACAAAGTTTATACTGGTAGATATCAACTTCCGTTTATATGCATATATATATATATATATATAAATATTTAGTACAGTGATTTTAAAATGATAGTATTGTATTAAAATGATAGTATTTTGAGCTAAACTGTCATATGTGCTGAGTAAAGATATTCTAAGATGAGGTGTGTGTTGTGTTTTTTGAACATGTGCACAGAAAAAGAAGGTGGTAAATAAAACATTTTAAATTAATATGGCAACCCCCATCGTGCATGCAGCGTCTGCATGATCAGTTATGTTCAAACTAACGACTCTTAGGAGCCTAGATTTTATTAGTTTTGCTCCTAAAGGCTGAAAAAGTGTGAGCAGCACAAAAACACTCTGCTCTCTGCCATTTATTATAACTGTTGTTATTTATTATAACTATTGTTATATTTATTATAACTGTTGTTATTTATTATAACTATTGTTATATTTATTATAACTGTTGTTATATTTATTACAAGTGTTGTTATA